ACACACACACACACACACACACACACACACACACACACACACACACAACTGCTAAAGATTCCTCCAAGTCAAAATGGCCGGGAGAGTATATGACCAGACCACCAGCTCATTCTCCTTCCATCAAAGGCAGCTCAAAAGGCAATTTAACCCACCAGATGGGGCCATGACAACCATTTTCTATGTTGTGCACAATCAATGGAGGCGCGACATCCGTGCAGAGATAATGATGGGCATCCGCCGTGAGCCGGAAATAGCCGTCCACCAGAGACACAAAAGACAAGGCTTCCTCGTGGGAAGACAGGCTTAACTCCTGCATGGAAACAAGAGAGAAACGAAGTCCCAAGATTACTCTCCAGCCACCAATCAATCGGGGAAGACAATATCATCCTCTTCAAACGACGCCAGCCAAAAAACTTTCAAAAGCTTTTCCTGGAGGAAGAAATCAAAACTGCTTGGGAGCCAGATGAGGGACATCTCATCCCTGCCACCCTGCAGGCAGCTGGAATTACCCCAAAGATGCTTTTACTGAACCCACAGCAATAAGCTCCATCCAGAAGATGAGTAAGACCGACTCCATGTTGGGTCAGCCTTAGCAATGAAAGCTGATGTAATGAGCACCTTCGCCCAAAGCCACAAGGAAGCTGATGAGGCAAGATGTCTTGGAATACAAGACACAAAGGGGACAGCGAGAGGCTGTCAGATACAGAACCCACACACTAGTACAGCCTCCTGGGCTTTTTCCTCCATTGCTTAAACCATTCTCCACCCCCACCACCTTTAAATCTGTCAAAATGTAAAGCTCAGCCACGTAGCCTTGAAGCGATGCTCAGGGAAACGGCTCTGATTCCCCTGGATTAAACAACTCATGTCTCTTTTGGTTTAAGGGACTGTTTTCTACTTGGTCTGGTTTTTGACAATCCCAATACCTTTTACCGATTTCTAAAAAGCAGGTAGACACATCACACCTATCAGAATGGCCAACATGACAAAACAGGAAAATGATAAATGTTGGAGAAGATGTGGGAAAATTGGAACACTAATGCATTATTGGTGGAATTGTGAAATGATCCAACCATTTTGGAGAGCAATTTGGAACTATGCCCAAAGGGCTATAAAAATGTGCCCAAAAATTTGACCCAATAGCACTTCTAGGGCTATATCCCAAAGAGATCACACAAATGGGACAAGGACCTACATGTACAAAAATATTCATAGCAGCTCTTTTTGTGGTGGCAAAGAATTGGAAATTGAGAGGATGCCCATCCATTGGGGAATGGCTGAGCAAGTTGTGGTATATGAATGTGATGGAATACTATCGTGCTATAAGAAATGATGAACAGGCTGACTTCAGAAAAACCTGGAAAGACTTGTATGGTCCGATGCTGAGTGAAGTGAGCAGAACCAAGAGAACATTGTACACAATAACAGCCAGGTTATTTGATGACTAATATTGATAAACTTAGCCCTTCCCAGCAATGCAAGGATCTAAGACATCTCCAGAAGCCTTGTGATGGAAAATGCTATCCATATCCAAAGAAAGAACTATGGAAGTTGAATTGCTATTTTTTTTTCTCTTCTGTTGAGTTTTGTTTTCTCTTTCTGATGGTTCCTCCTATTGGTTTTAATTTTTACTTACAACATCACTAATGTGAAAATATGTTTAATATGAATGTAAATATATAGCCTGTATCAGATTGTGTACCGTCTTGGGGAGGGTGGTGGGGAGGAAGGGGGAGAAAAATTTTAAACTCCAAAGCATATGGAACTGATTATTGATAAGTCAGAATAAATTAATAAAAAAAATAAAAAGCAGGCAGAATGTTGTGCCCCTGTGCACACAGAGCATTAAACATAATAATAGTAGCTACCATTTGCATAGCACCTACTATGTGTCAGGCACTGTGCTAAGCACTTTACAATTATAATCTCATTTGCTCCTCACAACAACCCAGGGAGGGAGGTGCTACTATTCTGCCCATTTTACAGATGAGGAAACTGAGGTAAACAGAGGTTAGATGACTTGGTCAGGGTTACATAGTTAGCAAGTGTCTGAGGCCAGATTTTACTTCAGGGCATTCTGACTCCAGGCCCAGTGCTCTAACCACACAACTGCACCCCAAATATAGTGACCATGGAGGCTTAATAGAAAATACTGAAAGCAGAATAGTGACTGGCCCCAGGACCATTTCTACTGCCTCAGAATGAGAAGATGATAATGCAGCTGACATTTATATCATGTCTTAAGGTTTACACAGCACTTTACAAACATTATTTCATCTCACCCCAATAACAATCCTGTTCTATGTCTTATTAATCACATTTTAGGGTCCTAAGCCCAGAGCGGGAGGAAATCTCAGTGGGTATCCATTCCAGCCCCTTCATTTTACATATGGGCAAACTGAGGCCCACAGCAGCGAGGTGGCCCCATAGTGCCTAGAGCATGGGCTGGAGCCTCAGGCACTTACTAGCTGTGTGACCCTGGGCAAGTCATTTCACCCTGTTTGTCTCAGTTTCCTCACCTGCAAAATCAGGGTCATAGTAGCATCTACCTGCCAGGGTCGTTGTGAGGATCAAATGAGATAATGTAGTTATAAAGCACTTAGTACAGTCCCAGGCACACAGGTGCCACATAAGTTCTTGCTCCTTCCCTCCCCACTCAGTTACCCCATCTGCAAAATGGAGCTAATACTAGCCTCTACCTCCCAGGATTGCTAAGATGATGAAATGAGATAACATTTGTAAAGTGCTTTGCAAACTGAAGACTAGTTATTATTATTATTATTACTCCAAATTCAGCAGTCAGCTGCCTTTCCCAAACTCTGCCTGGAAGGCTGGAGGGCAGAGCATGAAACTCTTCCCAAAACCTTCCTTTAGGCTCAGACCTTTCTAGTTAAGTCGCCATGTTTCATCTGCTTCTCTGCTTGGTTTTGACTGCATGCACATCACGCCCCTGCCATCAAGCGCCTTCTGGAGCCCCCAGCCCTTTGTAACCTCCTTTTCTGTATCATTTTCTCCCATTAGATTGCAAGCTCCCTGAGGACAGACACTGTTTCTTTTTCTTATTTGTATCTCCAGGGCTTAACACAGTGCCTGACACATGGTAGTGTTTAATGACTATGGCATATGTGTGTACATACATGCCCACTCCCTCTGGCCCCCTACCAGTAGAATATCATCTCCTTGAGAGCAGGGAATGGTTCATTCTTTGTCTCTCTATCCCCAGCATCTGCATAATGCCTGGTACATAGTAGGTGTTTGGTAATTCTTTGGTAATTGATTGATTATACCATACTCTAATGCAGACAGAAATGAAGCTGCTCTGGATGAAGAGAATACAGTGTGAGCTTAGTCCAATGAGAGGAGAGGCTGATGAACCAGGAGATCTGAGGCAGGACTTAGGAAGGACACAACCCTGGAGCTTGGCACTGAGAGCTTTATAAGAAGCAGATGCACTGGGGTTGGAGGAAGGACACAGGGAGTGCCCATCAACGAGCACCAGTCTTTAATGGAATGAGCCACTGGCAAGACTAACAAAAATTCGTAATTAAAAATCCCTTTCTGAATCTCAGCCTACTCATCTATAAAGTGGGGAGAATAATATCTGTGGTATTTCTCTCACGTGGCAGTCATGAGGATCAAATAAAATAATGTCTGAAAAATGCTTTGCAAATGTTAAAATGCCAGCACAATATCAGTTATTGATTCTGTTGTTGTCAACAATTTTAATAATGCAAACACCTCTTAATTTTTCAAAGCACTTTCACATCTCTCTCTATCCCATTTGGTCCTCACAAGAAACCTGAGAGGCACTAACACAGGGGCTTTCATGTCCATTTCACAGATGAGGAAACCCAAATGAGCCCCCATAATGTTCAGTGATTCCCACCAAAGGTGACCAAATGAATTTGTAACTAAGGGCTGGAATCTGGGGCTCCTGAATCCTCACCTTGGAGGAACCTGGGGGCTCACATTTGCATAATACTTGGAGGTATGCAAAAGGCTTTCCTTGCAACAATGCTATGGAGAGTAAGTAGTGCAAGTGTTAATATTCCCATTTTATAGCTGAGGAAACCAAGGCCGTAACTTGCCCAAGGTCAAGAAAAGTGAAGTATCTGAGCTTGGATCAAACTTTAGTCTCTCCTGACTCCAAATCCAGCACCTTTTCCACTAGCCACTAACAATGACTACAAGAGCTTGGTGGGACGAGAAGAGGCGGGTGGAGTTACTCAGGAAATGGGTAATGGGGTCAGTGACTCTTGGGAGGTAACTTGGAGAGCTGAGGCATAACCAGAGAGAAAGGGAGACAGAATTTCCCATTGAAGGAATGCCTCAAGTAAAAATAAGTGGTGGCAGATGTCCTGTAGACTTGGTAACAGTGAACAGATAAGTCCCTAGAAGGAGTATCTTTGTGCTCTGGCAAGCGCTGGACCTTCTGGAGTCACACCTGCTTCCAGACTCTCCCTCAGACACCTGCCAGCTGTGGGACGCTGGGAAAGCAGAATTTCTGTGACATGGGAGCAAGGATTGCACGTGCTCACTCACAGTTATTATGAGCAAAGACCCTTTCAAACAAGGGGAGCCTTCAGGCAGGAGACCTTTATTTTCAACATCTGGAAGTTCATTTTTATTCACAAAACAAGTGAAAATGCCTATAAACTTCAGAGAAGGGGCAAAGAAGCCCTAAGTTGACAAGTCAACATTCTTTAAGTACTTACTATGGGCCAAGCTCAGTTCTAAGGCTGGGGATACAAAGAAAGGCAAAACATGGTCCTCCCTTCAAGGAGAGTGTGTTCTAACGGCAGATTGAAACCATGCAGACAACTATGTCTCTGAAGAATATGATTGGAGGAGGAGGTGGCAGGATACAGGGAGGCTGTGAGAACGGAGAAGGGACATTGTCTATGAAATATCACGGGGGAGAAAGCAAGACTTCATCACCTACACCCACACTGACAAAAAGGAGAGGAATTGAACAGATCTCAAGTCTAGCAGAGGGATGCTGTACATACAGACTTGTTCAATTCAACAAGGATTTCTTTAGCACCTGCTATGAACAAGGCACTGAGTGAGAGGCTGGAGATGAAGTGACAAAAAAGAAATAGTGCCTACCCTCAGGGAGTTTACAAGGATCTGGGGCAGGGTAAGGAGGATGATACATTTAGAAGTGAGCATATACAAAGTAATTTCAAGAGGGAGAGAGTGCTAACCACTCTGCAGGAGAAGCAGGTCAGGAAAGACCTTGAGTAAGATGTGATACCAGGAATTGTACTTCAATCAATCGATCACTTAACAGTTATAATACTTACTATGTGCCAGGCACTGTTCTAAGTGCTGGAAGAAATATAGGTATGACATAGGGAAGAGATAAGGAGAAAGTGCATCCCAGGCATGGGAGACAAGGCAAGTAATCAAGAGAGGAAGGTCATGGAATTGACTGAGGGGATGTGAGGGGACCTGGGAGATGGCAGTACCATTGACGGCAACTGCGAAGGTTGGGGAAGGGGCAATAGGAGCTCTTTTAAAGACACATTTGACATCAGGACCCAGATGCATGGCTCCTGCTGCAGAAAGGGTCAGGGTGAACATAGCATCTTCCACAATGTGGTTCCAACCCACCTTTCTAGTCCGCAACATAACTCCCCTTCACGCACACTGGGGACCAGCCAAATTGGCTTGAGCGTTCTCCAGACGGGAGGCTCTTATCTCTCATTTCTGTGCCTTGGCACTAGCTAACCTCCATCTCAGGAATTCCCTCCCCACTAACCTCCTCTTCTCAGAACCTCTGGATTCCTTCAAGCTGCAGTTCAAGCTCTCACTCCCTTTTGCTTGAAGCCTCTCCTCATTCCCACAAGCTGCTTGTGCTCTCCACCCCTCACCCCCATAGATGACCTTGTGATGATTTTCTCTGTTTTACATCTACATGGGTGTGTACCTGTTGCTTCTTTTTGCACATCCAGTGTTGAGCACTGCCTGCCACATCTTTGCTGTTGTTTACTTGTTTCAGTCACCTCTGACTCCCCATGACCCCATGTGGGGTTTTCTTGACAAAGACACTGGAGTGGTTTGCCATTTCCCTCTCCAGCTCATTTTACAGATGAGGAAACTGAGGCAAACAGGGTTAAATGTGTTGCCCGAGGTCACACAGCTACTAAGTGTCTGAGGCTGGATTTGAACTCATGAGGATGAGTCTTCCTGACTCCAGGACTGGTGCGCTATCCACTGCAGCACTACCTGGCTGCCAAGCTGCAAGAAGTATTTACTGAGCAGCTAAGGGATGTGCAGTACAGTGTTAGGCACTGGTGTTGGAAAGATATAAATGAAACTGTCCCTGCCCTCATGGAGCTTACATTGTATTTGGGGAAAAGTGTGTACACATATATATAGGTATAACAAGGTCAATACAATTTTGGCAGACAGGCATTAGTGATAATGGCTTATAAGCAATGAAATCTGTCTTTCCCCTTCTCCTGCCACCATATTCCTGGCATTCTCTCTCCTTTTCTTCTCTTTTTACGGTGTCCCCCTCTGTCTCACCATCTGTTCTTTTAATAGTCAATGTTTCCACTCCGGTTAATCTTTCCATTTACATTGGGTTAGCAGGTACCTCCTCCCCGCCTCCCCCAAATCTCCACTTCCCCTACAACATAGATCTATCTGCTCATGTAAAAGACGTGTTTGAGGGCTGTCCAAAAAGAGGAAGCGGGAACCACAGAGCCTTCCTTCTTCAGACCATGAGACAGGCAGAGATTTAGCAACAAGAGCGCCAGTGCGGCCCCGTACTTGTCTGCTCTGAGGTTACGTCAGCCAAGTGACTTGATCCTGGCCACCCCTCCCTACTGAGGGGCCAGGAGCACACGAGCATTTTGGGGGAAACAGCGATGCCAACTGATGGCCTTTTCCTACGGATCAGCTAACTTTCCTTAAATTAAACACAGATGCTATCAATCCCTGGAAGGCTGGCCAGCCAGGGCCAGACGCACGGTTGGAGGAAAGACCATGCTAGGCCTGGCATTGAAGGGGCCCAGTGAAACTCAGCGTACTGGAACTGACCGAGAACAAGGCTGTTTTCACCTGAACCTCGAAGACACAATATTTTCTTTGGGAAGAGGCCCAAGGCGAGCACATGGTTGGCGCCCATTTCAGTTCGACTCAATCCATGGGATCCTCAGATGTTACACAGTCAGAGGAAGCAAGTCAGAAGGGGTGGCAGAGCCCATGTAGTCACAAGATCAAAGATTGGCAAATGGAAGGAAACTTAGAGGTCATTTAGTCCAACACACTCATTTAACAGGTGCGGAGAGCGGGGCCAAGGATTATCAGCTAAGTGACTTGTCCAAGGTAACGCCAAATTGAGCACCTATTAGGTCCAAGTCACAGGCATTGGGAATGAAAAAACAAAAATAAATCAGTCTGTTCCCTCAAAGAGCTTCCATTCCGCTTGGAGAAACAACGTAGAGAACTAAGTTAATATAAAGCAATACGAAGTAATTTCCAGAGAGTGAGAGAGAGAGAGAGCTAGCAATGGAGGGGATCAGAGCAGGCCTTGCATGGGTGATGTAGGTAGGCTGTGCTTTGAATTGCTAAAAGCAGAGGTGCATGCGGAGTGCATTCCAGGTATGAGGGGCAGAGGCAGGACATGGACGGTGGAATACACAGAACAGGAAGGGGACAGACAGGGACAGAGTGGACATACAGGAGCAAGGTGGAATAAGAGTTTGGGGGAGCCAGACGGGGGAGGGCTTCGAATGCCAGGTGGAGGACAGTGTCCTCTGAGCATGGGAGTTCTTTCCCTACTTCCCGTGGCCACAGCCAGACTGGGGAGGGCTTCGAATGCCAGGTGGAGGACGGTGTCCTCTGAGCACAGGAGTTCTTTCCCTCCCTCACCCATGGTCACTGTGGGCAGCTTTGAAGGCAGCAGGAGGAGGAAAAGGAGGAAGGGAAACCGCACCAACGTACCATCTTCTTGTTGTCCTGCTTGTTGATGCTGACCATGGACTCCTTGATGACAACATGGGTGATTTCAGGGAAGTAGGAGAAGTTATTCCATTCCTCCCGGGCTTTGTTCTTCTCTTCGTCTTTCCTGTGTTTGCTCTCCTGCTTCTTCCTCTTCAGCTTATTTTTCTCCTTCTCAACAGAAACCACCTAAAAAGAAATGAGGAAACCCCTCAGGGAGGTGGGACTTGCCTTTCCCCTTGGAAACAGAAAAGTGTTTAACAAAGCAAGCGCTGCTCCGGGTCTGAGCAGAGCCAACCAAGGGTCCCTGGCCAATGCCAGAGAAAGGAAGCGGGCTGCTCAGCGGGGCAGAACCTTGTCTTCAAATGGCCAGCCCAGGACCTGGGCAGAGCGTCAGAACAATCTCTACTGCTGGATGGAGCTCAGGGATCACCCCGCATCAATCCAAGGTCCTTTGTAAATATAGAGAAATACACACACATGCACACAGAGCTCTAAAATTGGAAGGCACCTGGAGGTCACTCACTCCAACAACCACCCAAGCATGCATGTTCTCAATAACATCCCTGGCCATTTGATCATTCAGCTCTACATGAAGATCTGAATTGGCTTTTTTGGCATCAAAATCTCTCTCTCTCTCTCATAATATATGCATATATATCATATACACACATATGTGTCCGCATGCAGACATACGCATGTGTATATGTATGTATTATATATACACACACACATGCAAACATGCAGAGAGGCTATCTATATCTATGTAGAGAGATTGATATATTTATATAGTGATTTATATTTATATGTAATTATATATGTGTATATATCCATATCCATATGTATAGTATTAAATGAATTTCTATGGGCTGTGTTGCAAGGTGGCTAGGAGCCTGGAAGCCTAATACCTCTAAAAGTCCAAGTCTCACTGTTGAAACAGGGATTGTGTGACCTCTACAAGTCACTGACCATCTTACAGCTCTAGGCAGCTCTGGAAGATGACAATTGCAGAGAAGGTGCCAATCTCCAATGACAGAGGGAGTTCCCTCATCCAGAAGCTCCCTCTATCAATGAAGTCACACATCCAGTTCCAGTCCATGCTCCAGGGCTTTCTAGATCAATAATATCTGCCACAGGGTGTGCTCTGTTGGCAAAGCTTTCGAGAACCATAGACCACCCTCCAGACCCATGAGAAGACATCAGAGCATGACCGTGGTAGAGGACACACACACACACACACACACACACACACACACACACACACACACA